CATTAGATAAAAAGTTATTCAAATTAATTCTGTTCTTTTTTTGCGCACTGTAAAAGGAGAAACCGTTTATTTACAAATACTAAATTGCAAGACAATCCCGCGTTGAAAATATTATGAAAATGTTTTTAAACTGTCTGTCACCTGATGTCAATTTTTGCCATTATTAGTAAGGAAAACAAAATCGGTATTAGCTTTGTGTTTTAGAAAAAGCTAGTATTTTTGAACTAGTGCAGCCCTCTAGTGACGATAATGAAAAATAAACATTCGTTCATAATCAGTGGGGTAACTAGCGCATTTGAAAAGAATTCTTCTCTTAGGAGAAAAAGCGTTCGTTTCTCAATTTCAGTAATAGATTGCTGCTTTAAAGCATGGCTCTTTTACTAGTAGAAACAATTTGAGGTTATTATAGTTTTTTGTCCCTTGTAGAACGTAGCGATAATTTGAAAGAAAAAGCATTAATTTAAGAATCAATTATGTTATTTACTGACAAAAAAGACACAAATTAGCTTTGAAAGCCCGATAATAGAGAAGATTTTATTTAAATACATTAAAAAAGAAACATTGAAATTATTTAAATGCATTAATTCATACCAGGAAATAAAGGAAGGAATATAAAGAAAAGAAAAACAAGTTTTCTCAAAATTCAACTTTAAAATCTGTAAATAAAATCCATTTGAAATTTTTCGAATTTCAAATGATTTTTTGTAAAGTTATTCAACACAATTTAAAACATGAAGCAGCATTTTATCTAAATTTTTGGAGACTTAACTTAAATTTTGCCTGAAATCTTTTCTTCTTTTTTTCTATTTTTGTTTGCAACTCTGCCATAGTTCGTATTATTTTTTACTTAATTATTTTAATTTCATTTATTTTAATATCTAGTCAATTTCATGTAGAAAAAATTTCAATATAATATGATCTGCCCATTCATTTTAATGGACCAAAAATGAGTTCACTATGACTAAATTTAAGAAGAAAAAAAAATTGGATGAAAAGTACGCTTATATTATACAATCGTTTTTAGTCTCATTCTTTTTTCTTGTGTAACTATTTATGTTTAGTTTCATAAACTTTTTTCCTTATGAAGCTAATTGAGTGAATCACAAGCATTTTGTATAAAACAATATGACTTATTTAGTTAACAACAATTTTGTATAGAACAATAAGACTCGTTTACGTGAAGACAGTTTCGTTAGTGAATTTTTGGTAGTTTCAATAATTATTTTCTTTATAATTAAAATGGCAGGAAACTTTTGCATTATGAAAATCTTTTATATTTAGATATAATGTTCAAACTCGGCCCGAAATTAGGGTTTTATGCGTCGAACAATTGTACCGAAAGAAATCTTTATAAAGCAATTGTATTAGATAAAGCAAGAATATTATTATTTGACTAATGGCGAGAGTATACCCTAAAGTCGTGGGAACACCGTGTATGGCGTGGCCAGGTTGGTAGGGCTGTGCGCGAGTTATTTCCCGGAAAAAATAATTTATAATAATTATGTATTATTTTTTATTAATTTATTTAATAATACTTGGAAAATGTGGAGTTTTATGGAATTTTTTAATTGCTTTTACCTATTTTTTAAGAATGCAATTTGAAAATACAAAACTTAGTGCGAAATTGATCGAACAGTTATGGATAAATCAAATTCTAATTACGTGATCATTTTAGAATTGGTTACCTTAGAAACTATTCGGCCGACTTCGTCCAAAATTTGTATTTTTTTTTTAAAATTTAAAACTAAATTCCTTAACGAGAAAATTTTGCGTTAGTTATGTGAGTGCAAACGTATAGATTCCTTTATGCTAATTTCCTTTTTCGCGTAGTCTACCATGTCTTGATAATTTTTTTAAATAAACCAATCTCATAATTATAAAGTTAAGTTATTCCATAAAAAAAAATTCATGGAAAAAATAATTTTTAAAACTTTTTTAATAAGGCTCGAAAAACTTTCTATGGCATATACATTTTTACATCATTTAATACTATGTAATTTGAAAAGGCCAAAATACAAAATTTGAACGAAATCGGACTAATAGTTCTTGAGACATAATATTTGAGTCTTTAAAGCTTTCCTCTCATGCACTCTGATTATTTTGTTTTTATTTTAGAATATAACAGTCGTTGAACAGCAGTCCCAATTTTGGGTTTACGTGTTCAACTCCATAGCCTAGTAATTTTAAACCCAATCCGGAACACAAAAGAGCTCCTGGATCAAGTATTGAGAGGAATTTGCCTTCGTGGAAGAGTTTTTGATGGAACTAACGCGGATTTGCGTTCCATGGAGGGGAAAACCTCCCATTGTTAACCTGACGGCAAGGGAACTCTAACCCATGATCAGTCTGGCACTGAGCAATAATATATTATAATTATTTATTGGCAAATAATTATAATATATTTTAAATTATTGAGTTCTAATTTAGAATTTTTGCTGCAAAAAATATTCATTTTATATACTTTTGAGAATAAATATATACTAGTCTAAATACATTAAAAGTTGATGACTGTCATTTCAGAGGCCAAATCGCAAGATGACAGCCGTTTTAATATTTTCATACTATTTAATATGAATTATGGGTTGGCTAAAACGAAACGATTAACGTGCGTCTTCCCATTTGACAGCTTTGTGTTGAAAGTTAAAACACCAACGTTTATAATGATTGTTTTACGAATCTCAGACGAACTGAAAATTATTTATGTTTTATTGATGAAAAAAAATGATTTGCTATTTATTCACAAGTCATAAAATATTTAAAATAGACAAGTATTTTCCGATATAAAATAAATTCTACAAGTTTGAAAAATATCTTGACAAAAGAAAATTATGAAATTAGACAACTAAAATATACTTTTTCCGCCAGTTATTCCGAGAGTGTCGTTTTAAAAAAGAACGTGATTTTAAATATATTTTTTTAAGTAAAAAGCGTAAATTTTTCGACTAAGTTTCAGTGTTTCAAAGTAATCATAAGGAACAAAACATCTTGTCTATTAGGAATATGCGTCAGTAATAATAAATTAATTACATTCGTTAAAAAATGCTTACTATCATTCGCCAACCTCCGAAACTTTTTTAAGAAATTGATTTCAGATTACGATCTGAGATGGATTGCCTATTTTATAGCAAAAAATTTAGACATTAATGTTAATTAATATTCGTTCGTAAAACAACGCAATTTCACAATTGAATTGTTCCAAAAATATTTAGAAATTTAAGGCAATACGAATTGTTCATTGTCAATGTATCGACAAAAGACACACAATTCTATTGCGAATAGTTTTCGCTAAACTAAATCGGGAGGATCCCTGATCGCTCTCCATGCGTTTAACTTGATATTGCTTAATACGAATGTTTTACTCTCGAATATATTATTAATTGTAGTTAAGCTAGAGCCCTGATCGCTTTAGTGTCCCAAGCATACCCCCGGAATAGCTCACGAAGTTGGTTGCAGATTGCTTCGGGATCTGGGGCAAATTGCACGACGAAACAGCAACAACAACAAAAATTAATAAAAAAATGAAGATATTTGTTCGTAAAAGCAAGAAACTCAACAATATCATATCACTTTTGATTAAAATTCTTTGTAGTGATAGCGAAATAAAAGCAAGAATTATGCGACTGTGAACAACTTAATCTGTGCAAACACTTAATTTTTTAAGTTCGAAACATTTATTTCGATTACTTGTATGTAACGGTGGACGAAATCTTTATAATTGAACTTTGTTAAATTAAGAAAAGATATTAAATATTTTGCTAAGACTCTAAAGAAAAATTTCCTCTGAAATCAGGAGATACAGCATCTATAAAATAATTGTTCCAAAAATTATTAGCTAAGTAAGGCGTATTTTTTATTTTCAGTTTACTGGATCCCTGCTTCGCTATCACTCGCCAAACCCCGAAACTATTGCTTTCGTTGATTGTTTAATACATCAGTTTTTAATACTATATTTTAATTATAGTTGATGAGAGCTCGCAAAGGTAATTCGTCTAAAATGAACCTCTCACACCCTCTTAGATTAGACTTATATTATTACTGATTAATATTAGTTCGCCATGACTGAAGTGCAGATAGAACTAAAATGGATTTTATTTTCTAACTTAGTCTACTTTTACTGTTATATCTGCAAACTTCATGCGGCTCATTTTCAAAAGTTTTGATTCGTTTATATTAAATAAAACTATTGCCACAATCGTCTTAAACAATTTTTACAGAGCGAGTTTCACTCTGTTATAACTCAAAAACTATTAAATGTAATTTTACATTATTAACAGAATTCTTTTTTAACATGTTGATGTAGCTATTGAGTTGTTTTATGTCTAAGATGAAAATTGCTGTTTTGCGTAGCTTAATTCACTATAGTGAAAACTCTATTTAGTTATTTTAATTTTTAAACATATTTAGGTATATGCGGAATCTAAAATTTTCCTTCAGGTTGAATTTTATAATTCAAGAATATTTCCTAACAGGTAAAAATTAAAAAAAAGTCAATTAACAACCATTAAAATTTTTTCCAATTGAATTCCCAATATTTATTATATCGTTTATGTAAGTAATTGCTAGATTTAGTATTTTATAGGGACCCTTTTTAAACTGCAATAAGTCAATTTATAATTTATGTTCAGTTTTAATTAATGTCTGATATAGTGTATCCCTTATCTAACTAAGCTTGATTACTCGTAACAAAGCTACAAAATAACAAAGCGATTTCCAAATTAGTTCAATTATGTTCAACAAGTTAAAAAAACGACTTTTATCACTCCATCAGCAATTTTACTTCGATAAAATTAAGATGCTGATTTTAGGATATGTTATTTCGAGACTATATTAAAGAGTAAACATATTCTTGTTTTCAATACCTTATTTCATGTTTTAGGGTTAAAGGAAGAAACACACACGCAATACATTTTAATTAAATTCACAAGAATCAGAAGATCAAATATGTAGTATAAATAATAAAAATATAAGTATAAACAAAAATTTTAATAAGTTATCTTGGCTGCCTTTACAGACTTCGGTCCTTTTATATGCACGTTCACGTTTAACCTCATAGGTAATAATCCTCTTTCAATGAAAGTTTCGCAATCAAATCTCTCCGCTGAAGGGAATTGTACGTTCACACTTTCATGAAAATTTTAAATTGAATTGTTCTCAGATAAATAGAAATACAGCAACGACAAAGGTGGCATACGTAGAATTATAGCAGACCATAATACTTCTGCGACTTATCGATTTCAGCAATCACTGTTACAAGTCTATTCCGTTTAAGATCCTGTAATGAAAATACACTATATTACCTCTTTATAACATGCTCCTACAATTCATAATGTTTGCAAAAAGCATTGTTTCTTATTTATAGAGTAGAGACAGGAAAAGAGAACTTCAGAAAAGTGAAGCCATACTTGAGACCACTATACTGTGTGGTGCAAGGTCATGGTCCCTCTACCGTAACTGAATAAAGGTACTTTTAATCGTAATTGTACCATTAAACATTTCAAAATTTTATTAACAAGTGTATTCGAAATTTTTTTTTTATTCTTAACTGCAACATTAGTTTAATAATGATCTGTTTGAAAACCACTTACTAAATTATATAAAAACATTTAAACATGAAATGTATAACAAATCATTATCGAAAAACTTTTACTGTTAAACCATCAGTTTAAAATGTTTTTTTTTTTTAAAAAAACTAAAACAATTCTTTTTAAAAAGATGTAAATTCGTAATTTATTTTTGTCTGGTTAAATGTAGTGATTGTTACTATGAGCATTATTACGCTTGTTCAAAAGACTAATCATTTTTGTATGTTTAACTAATTATTCACTAAATTTAATTCAATATATTCTTTCATAATACCTTAAAGTTACTTAATTTGTGAAATCTAAATTTGATTCCCCTAACTAAACTCTAATCTCAGGTATCCACAATTTTTTCTAAAACTTGATAGATTATTCTCTCATACTTTGATGTTTGTGTTCATTAATTAAATTCTTTATTATCTCAATGACATCGACTCTCTACGATAAGAAAAGACCGATTCCTTCACAGCCGTATTAAAAGGGCGTGAAAAAAGATTTCTATATAACCAAACATCACAAGTTTAAGTCTAACATGGTACATTTAATTTATTGTTTAATTATTCAGTTTAGATGTCAATACTCTTTTTATTTATATCAATAGATATCAACATTTGAAACAAAGAAATCTTTATTCACGATTTTTCTTATCAATCCTTATTTACTTTAACATATGAATGAGTAACGATATAGTTTTTCTTCTGTTTCATATACGTTATTTTTACATGTTTGCTTTTCTTATGCGTTACTTTTAAGCGCTTAATACTATGCGTAATTTATAATTTTCTTATGCGTCAATTTAGTTAGTTTTCTTATATTGCACATTAAACTTAATTTTGGGAGTTGTTATGTTCACTTTTATTTGCGGTGCCACTTCTACGCGTTTAATTTTTTACGTGTTACTTTTACAAACTTGTTACATGCATTACATTTTACATTCTACTTTTTTGTTGTTGATTTTTTCTTATAAATTAATTCTTACTTTTCTTATGCCTTACTTTTCCACTTTTACTTCCTTTTTATTTTAAGCGTAAATATGTATATTACTCTTTACTTGTCTTTCAGCGTTAGACGACAGTGTTGAATTTAAACTTTACCTTTTTACGCGTTATATATTATTTTTTACTTATTATACACTTTTAACTTGACTTTTTTTTATTTCTCTGTAGGTTACTTTTACGTATTTATTTCTATTATGTGTTGCTTTTACTTTTTTCCGTTTTTCTACTCTATTCTTTAATAAATAGTTTACGCTTTCCATTACTCTGTATATTTCCACTTACTTTTCTCAATGCGTTATAATTTTACCCATGTTTACTTTACAAAATATTTATACATATATTTTTTTTTTGCTTTACTTCTAGCGTATGCTTTTCTTAAGTGTTTATTTTATATTATATAGTTGCTTTCATGCGTTACTAAATTGACCGCGTTTTCAATTGCACGTTATTTTTAATTTCTTGTATTTTTTATGCCTTCCTTTTCTTTATGCGTTTGCTACTCGTTTAATCTTCCTATGCNCAAAAACTAAATTGCAAGACAATCCCGCGTTGAAAATATTATGAAAATGTTTTTAAACTGTCTGTCACCTGATGTCAATTTTTGCCATTATTAGTAAGGAAAACAAAATCGGTATTAGCTTTGTGTTTTAGAAAAAGCTAGTCTTTTTGAACTAGTGCAGCCCTCTAGTGACGATAATGAAAAATAAACATTCGTTCATAATCAGTGGGGTAACTAGCGCATTTTGCGCCTTTGAAAAGAATTCTTCTCTTAGGAGAAAAAGCGCTCGTTTCTCAATTTCAGTAATAGATTGCTGCTTTAAAGCATGGCTCTTTTACTAGTAGAAACAATTTGAGGTTATTATAGTTTTTTGTCCCTTGTAGAACGTAGCGATAATTTGAAAGAAAAAACATTAATTTAAGAATCAATTATGTTATTTACTGACAAAAAAAAAGACACAAATTAGCTTTGAAAGCCCGATAATAGAGAAGATTTTATTTAAATACATTAAAAAAGAAACATTGAAATTATTTAAATGCATTAATTCATACCAGGAAATAAAGGAAGGAATATAAAGAAAAGAAAAACAAGTTTTCTCAAAATTCAACTTTAAAATCTGTAAATAAAATCCATTTGAAATTTTTCGAATTTCAAATGATTTTTTGTAAAGTTATTCAACACAATTTAAAACATGAAGCAGCATTTTATCTAAATTTTTGGAGACTTAATTTAAATTTTGCCTGAAATCTTTTCTTCTTTTTTTTCTATTTTTGTTTGCAACTCTGCCATAGTTCGTATTATTTTTTACTTAATTATTTTAATTTCATTTATTTTAATATCTAGTCAATTTCATGTAGAAAAAATTTCAATATAATATGATCTGCCCATTCATTTTAATGGACCAAAAATGAGTTCACTATGACTAAATTTAAGAAGAAAAAAAAATTGGATGAAAAGTACGCTTATATTATACAATCGTTTTTAGTCTCATTCTTTTTTCTTGTGTAACTATTTATGTTTAGTTTCATAAACTTTTTTCCTTATGAAGCTAATTGAGTGAATCACAAGCATTTTGTATAAAACAATATGACTTATTTAGTTAACAACAATTTTGTATAGAACAATAAGACTCGTTTACGTGAAGACAGTTTCGTTAGTGAATTTTTGGTAGTTTCAATAATTATTTTCTTTATAATTAAAATGGCAGGAAACTTTTGCATTATGAAAATCTTTTATATTTAGATATAATGTTCAAACTCGGCCCGAAATTAGGGTTTTATGCGTCGAACAATTGTACCGAAAGAAATCTTTATAAAGCAATTGTATTAGATAAAGCAAGAATATTATTATTTGACTAACGGCGAGAGTCGTGGGAACACCGTGTATGGCGTAGCCTGGTTGGTAGGGCTGTGCGCGAGTTATTTCCCGGAAAAAATAATTTATAATAATTATGTATTATTTTTTATTAATTTATTTAATAATACTTGGAAAATGTGGAGTTTTATGGAATTTTTTAATTGCTTTTACCTATTTTTTAAGAATGCAATTTGAAAATACAAAACTTAGTGCGAAATTGATGTAACAGTTATGGATAAATCAAATTCTAATTACGTGATCATTTTAAAATTGGTTACCTTAGAAACTATTCGGCCGACTTCGTCCAAAATTTGTATTTTTTTTTTAAATTTAAAACTAAATTCCTTAACGAGAAAATTTTGCGTTAGTTATGTGAGGAGTGAGCGCAAATGTATAGATTCCTTTATGCTAATTTCCTTTTTCGCGTAGTCTACCATGTCTTGATAATTTTTTTAAATAAACCAATCTCATAATTATAAAATTAAGTTATTCCATAAAAAAAAATTCATGGAAAAAATAATTTTTAAAACTTTTTTGTTATTTTTTATTTACTAAGGTTCGAAAAACTTTCTATGGCATATACATTTTTACATCATTTAATACTATGTAATTTGAAAAGGCCAAAATACAAAATTTGAACGAAATCGGACTAATAGTTCTTGAGACATAATATATGAGTCTTTAAAGCTTTCCTCTCATGCACTCTGATTATTTTGCTTTTATTTTAGAATATAACAGTCGTTGAACAGCAGTCCCAATTTTGGGTTTACGACAACCCGTGTTCAACTCCATAGCCTAGTAATTTTAACCCAATCGGGAACACAAAAGAGCTCTTGGATCAAGTATTGAGAGGAATTTGCCTTCGTGGAAGATTTTTTGATGGAACTAACCCGGATTTGCGTTACATGGAGGGGAAAACCTCCCACTGTTAACCTGACGGCAAGGGAACTCTAACCCATGATCAGTCTGGCACTGAGCAATAATATATTATAATTATTTATTGGCAAATAATTATAATATATTTTAAATTATTGAGTTCTAATTTAGAATTTTTGCTCCAAAAAAATTATTTTATATACTTTTGAGAATAAATATATACTAGTCTAAATACATTAAAAGTTTGTGACTGTCAATTCAGAGGTCAAATCGCAAGATGACAGCCGTTTTAATATTTTCATACTATTTAATATGAATTATGGGTTGGCTAAAACGAAACGATTAACGTGCGTCTTCCCATTTGACAGCTATGTGTTGAAAGTTAAAACACCAATGTTTATAATGATTGTTTTACGAATCTCAGACGAACTGAAAATTATTTATGTTTTATTGTTGAAAAAAATGATTTGCTATCTATTCACAAGTCATAAAATATTTAAAATAGACAAGTATTTTCCGATATAAAATAAATTCTACAAGTTTGAAAAATATCTTGACAAAAGAAAATTATGAAATTAGACAACTAAAATATACTTTTTCCCAGTTATTCCGAGAGTGTAGTTTTAAAAAAGAACGTGATTTTAAATATATTTTTTTAAGTAAAAAGCGTAAATTTTTCGACTAAGTTTCAGTGTTTCAAAGTTATCATAAGGAACAAAAAATCTTGTCTATTAGGAATATGCGTCAGTAATAATAAATTAATTACATTCGTTAAAAAATGCTTACTATCATTCGCCAACCTCCGAAACTTTTTTAAGAAATTGATTTCAGATTACGATCTGAGATGGATTGCCTATTTTATAGCAAAAAATCTAGACATTAATGTAAATTAATATTCGTTCGTAAAACAACGCAATTTCACAATTGAATTGTTCCAAAAATATTTAGAAATTTAAGGCAATACGAATTGTCAATGTATCGACAAAAGACACACAATTCTATTGCGAATAGTTTTCGCTAAGCTAAATCGGGAGGATCCCTGATCGCTCTCCATGCGTGATATTGCTTAATACGAATGTTTTACTCTCGAATATATTATTAATTGTTAGTTAAGCTAGAGCCCTGATCGCTTTAGTGTCCCAAGCATACCCCCGGAATAGCTCACGAAGTTGGTTGCAGAGTGCTTCGGGATCTGGGGCAAATTGCACGACGAAACGGCAACGAAAAAAAAATTAATAAAAAAATGAAGATATTTGTTCGTAAAAGCAAGAAACTCAACAATATCATATCACTTTTGATTAAAATTCTTTGTAGTGATAGCGAAAGAAAAGCAAGAATTATGCGACTGTGAACAACTTAATCTGTGCAAACACTTAATTTTTTAAGTTCGAAACATTTATTTCGATTACTTGTATGTAACGGTGGACGAAATCTTTATAATTGAACTTTGCTAAATTAAGAAAAGATATTTAATATTTTGCTAAGACTCTAAAAAAAAATTTCCTCTGAAATCAGGAGATACAGCATCTATAAAATAATTGTTCCAAAAATTATTAGCTAAGTAAGGCGTATTTTTTATTTTCAGTTTACTGGATCCCTGCTTCGCTATCACTCGCCAAACCCCGAAACTATTGCTTTCGTTGATTGTTTAATACATCAGTTTTTAATACTATATTTTAATTATAGTTGATGAGAGCTCGCAAAGGTAATTCGTCTAAAATGAACCTCTCACACCCTCTTAGATTAGACTTATATTATTACTGATTAATATTAGTTCGCCATGACTGAAGTGCAGATAGAACTAAAATGGATTTTATTTTCTAACTTAGTCTACTTTTACTGTTATATCTGCAAACTTCATGCGGCTCATTTTCAAAAGTTTTGATTCGTTTATATTAAATAAAACTATTGCCACAATCGTCTTAAACAATTTTTACAGAGCGAGTTTCACTCTGTTATAACTCAAAAACTATTAAATGTAATTTTACATTATTAACAGAATTCTTTTTTAACATGTTGATGTAGCTATTGAGTTGTTTTATGTCTAAGATGAAAATTGCTGTTTTGCGTAGCTTAATTCACTATAGTGAAAACTCTATTTAGTTATTTTAATTTTTAAACATATTTAGGTATATGCGGAATCTAAAATTTTCCTTCAGGTTGAATTTTATAATTCAAGAATATTTCCTAACAGGTAAAAATTAAAAAAAAGTCAATTAACAACCATTAAAATTTTTGTCCAATTGAATTCCCAATATTTATTATATCGTTTATGTAAGTAATTGCTAGATTTAGTATTTTATAGGGACCCTTTTTAAACTGCAATAAGTCAATTTATAATTTATGTTCAGTTTTAATTAATGTCTGATATAGTGTATCCCTTA